ATTCACTCAAACAGCTGATTCACTCAAACAGCTGATACACTCAAACAACTGATTCGCTCAAACAGCTGATTCGCTCAAACAGCTGATTCGCTCAAACAGCTGATTCGCTCAAACAGCTGATTCGCTCAAACAGCTGATTCGCTCAAACAACTGATTCGCTCAAACAGCTGATTCGCTCAAACAGCAGATTCGCTCAAACAGCAGATTCGCTCAAACAGCTGGTTCGCTCAAACAGCTGGTTCGCTCAAACAGCTGATTCGCTCAAACAGCTGATTCGCTCAAACAGCTGATTCGCTCAAACAGCTGATTCCCTCAAACAGCTGATTCGCTCAAACAGCTGATTCGCTCAAACAGCTGATTCACTCAAACAGCTGATTCACTCAAACAACTGATTCCCTCAAACAACTGATTCCCTCAAACAACTGATTACCTCAAACAACTGAAACAGCAGATTCACTCAAACAAACAGCTGATTCGCTCAAACAGCTGATTCGCTCGAAAAAAAAGCTGATTCGCTCAAACAGCTGATTCGCTCAAACAGCTGATTCGCTCAAACAGCTGATTCGCTCAAACAGCTGATTCGCTCAAACAAACAGCTGATTCACTCAAACAACTGAAACAGCAGATTCACTCAAACAGCAGATTCACTAAAACAAACAGCTGATTCGCTCAAACAGCTGATTCACTCAAACAACTGAAACAGCAGATTCACTCAAACAAACAGCTGATTCGCTCAAACAGCTGATTCGCTCAAACAGCTGATTCACTCAAACAAACAGCTGATTCGCTCAAACAGCTGATTCGCTCTAACAGCTGATTCACTCAAACAGCTGATTCACTCAAACAGCTGATTCGCTCTAACAGCTGATTCACTCAAACAGCTGATTCGCTCAAACAGCTGATTCGCTCAAACAGCTGATTCACTCAAACAGCTGATTCGCTCAAACAGCTGATTCACTCAAACAGCTGATTCGCTCTAACAACTGATTCGCCCAAACAGCTGATTCGCTCTAACAGCTGATTCACTCAAACAGCTGATTCGCTCAAACAGCTGATTCACTCAAACAAACAGCTGATTCGCTCAAACAGCTGATTCGCTCAAACAGCTGATTCGCTCAAACAGCTGATTCGCTCAAACAGCTGATTCGCTCTAACAACTGATTCGCTCAAACAGCTGATTCGCTCTAACAGCTGATTCACTCAAACAGCTGATTCGCTCAAAAAACTGATTCACTCAAACAGCTGATTCACTCAAACAGCTGATACGCTCAAAAAACTGATCCACTCAAACAGCTGATTCACTCAAACAACTGCTGATTCGCTCAAACAACTGCTGATTCGCTCAAACAACTGCTGATTCGCTCAAACAACTGCTGATTCGCTCAAACAACTGCTGATTTGCTCAAACAACTGCTGATTCGCTCAAACAACTGCTGATTCGCTCAAACAACTGATTCGCTCAAACAACTGATTCGCTCAAACAGCTGATTCGCTCAAACAGCTGATTCGCTCAAACAACTGATTCGCTCAAACAACTGATTCGCTCAAACAGCTGATTCGCTCAAACAGCTGATTCGCTCAAACAGCTGATTCGCTCAAACAACTGATTCGCTCAAACAACTGATTCGCTCAAACAGCTGATTCGCTCAAACAGCTGATTCGCTCAAACAGCTGATTCGCTCAAACAGCTGATTCGCTCAAACAGCTGATTCACTCAAACAACTGATTCGCTCAAACAGCTGATTCACTCAAACAGCTGATTCACTCAAACAGCTGATTCACTCAAACAACTGATTCGCTCAAACAGCTGATTCGCTCAAACAGCTGATTCGCTCAAACAGCTGATTCACTCAAACAGCTGATTCACTCAAACAGCTGATTCACTCAAACAGCTGATTCACTCAAACAACTGATTCACTCAAACAGCTGATTCGCTCAAACAGCTGATTCACTCAAACAGCTGATTCACTCAAAACAGCTGATTCACTCAAACAGCTGATTCACTGTCGCTTTGTTTTAAACCATTTCCGTTGGCGAAATAGAGCAAAAACAGGCAATATGGCGTCTAAAATGGAAGTCACTTAATATTAACTTAATGTTTATTAAACTTGTATAAAATCAATATCACATTTGTTATCATGCTGATATTTGGAGAAAAACTGCACTCTTGTGATATGTGATCCTGGACCACAAAACCAGTCACATGGGTAACTGTTTGCCCAATAAATTGAGATGTATACCATCACATGGAAGCTGAAAAAATAAGCTTTATTGATGAATGGTTTGTTAGGATAGGACAATATTTGGTCGAGATAAAACTATTTGAAAATCTGGAATCTGAGATCGCCTTTAAAGTCGTCCATTTATGTTTACGATTGTGCTGCACTCACTCACAAAAATAAATGTTTTATGAACGGTAGGAAATTTACAAAATATCTTCATGGAACATGATCTTTACCTAATATCCTAATGATTTTTGGCATAAAAGAAAAATCGATAATTCTGACCTATACAGTGTGTTGTTGGCTATTGCCACAGATATACCCGTGCGACTCGAGACTGGTTTTGTGGTCCAGGGTCACATGTTTATTACTAAATGATATAAATAAAGACTAAATCACACAGTGAAAGCGTGCACTAGTCTAATCTACAAGACTACATCACGTAGAGTATACACTCTCTGGGTGTGTGTGTGTGTGTGTGTGTGGGGGGGGGGGGGTGTGTGAGGGATAGGCTGTACTCGATAATGTCAAATCCCTATTCAGTACACAGAAAAACCTAAAAACTGCTCAAAATTCAAACAAAAATTGCTAAAACTTTACCAAAAAAAGATTTTATAATGTCTATGTGCTATAGAGCTATAAGGCCATCTAGAGTCATGAAATATCATGTTATATTATTATTTTTCCACAAGAGGTCGGCAGAGACACTCAATGTAAGATATTTAGAGCTGAATTAAAGGGTTATGCATGAAATTGTGAGTTATTTTGAATTTAAGTTGAAAGAATGTGAGGAAGGTGCTTAAATTACTAAATATTTATTGATTATATCTAGTAATTTAAAAGGTAAATAAAATAAAAATAACAAAAATTCTCCAAAATAATTGCATTAAAAAAATAGAAAAAATATTATTAAAATGACATAAAATAAGCTTTCTGGACAAAAAAAAAAAAAATGTAAGTATAAGTTTAGGGCTTCGGTTATTTTGACCCGCGAGGGAAGGATCTCGTATGTTCTGTTGTTTCATGCAAGTGAGGACAGAAAAATGACTTGTGTTGAAACTTCTTGTGTCACTCCTGCTTGTGTTAGGAAACTCAGTGAAATAACTGATGACATTAGCTAACACAAGAGGGTGTGAAACTATGCTAGTCAATCTCAATAAAACAGTAACCGCTGGATGTTGTAGAATTGCTACATAGATATATTCACAGTGGGTGAATATACAGTCAAACCAAAATGTATTCAGACACCTTCAACATTTCTCACATTATCTCAGTTTATTCGCTATAGTTCAGGAAAAGGTAATAAATATGAGCAGAACTCAGAGTTCTCAGATCAGTGGATATTTGACTGGTTTTGTCCGTCCTTCTGTTAGACTCTCACACATGAATTATGTTGAATATCTGTCAGCTGTTAAATTTAAGAACACAATTAGATAATACCAGTTTAGCTCAACCAGTGACCAAGCAATGCTTCATGTTGTTCAGTCTGTGTGTAAGAAGAGCATTAGCAATTACAGAAAACACACTTCAGCAAAACATGATCAGCTCAAAGTGGAGGAATCATTTCTGGTCCCGAATGTGTATAAATGTCACTGGTAGTCTCTGTATGAAGAGTTATTGGGTATAATATGTCACAGTTTACTTTATTTTGCTCTCCTCACTTACATAACTGAACTATAGTGTCCTGCACACACTAGTGAAACATCAAAAATTATATCTGGTGTCTGAATCATTTTTGGTTTGACTGTATCAAAATATAATAATCCAATCTGTAAAGCTGATTTGAAACGATGTGTGAAAAGCACTACACATATAAACCTGCGAGAATCTCAGAGTGTCTCTCATGGGTATAAAAACATCTTGTACAATGTTTATCCAAGTGGAGCTGATGTCCATATTTCTCAATAACTGTTGTTTGTTTGTTGTTGTGAGACGATCTTTATTAATCTGAGATGAGGAGTTGTGCTAAACCACACGGCTGCGTTTACAAATAATCGGTTAGTAAAGGCTCAGTCGGACCGGAGAGCCTTCAGGCAAACACATTAATCGATCATGAGCTCGACCTGATTGAAAGGGGTGTTTATTCCTTTCCTAATCTGATTCATTTTGGTTTGACTGTAAGCAGGGATTGAGATTAACTCCCGCTAACTCGCCAAATGCGGGTACAAATGAACTTTGGCGGGAAACGCTGTCAAATCACGAGCCAATCCGGCGTGTTTCTGTGTTTACTCACTTTGCTGGGGAAGTTCGTGTAAGCCAAATCTGTGCGGATTTAGCGCAACTCGTAAGTCCTCATGATATATTAAATACAGCGTATTGCGCTAAATCTGCTCATTTCTGGCTTACTTGAACACACACGTCACTACACAACAGATAATGGCGCGCTTGTTCACTTGCACTGAAGTAATAGAGAATATTAAAAAGCATTTGGTGAACAGAAAACACATTGTTATTTTCCAGCATCCCACATGTTCTGTGTGCTGTATTGATCTGTCCACCTAAAACACATTTTTGGTAAACAAAAAAGATGAAAGAGGAAGGGATGAGATGCTGGATGACAGGATTTTGTTTGAATAAGAAGTTAATGTATGAAATCCAAATTTTAATAAATATATATATATATATATATATATATAAAAGCTGTGACGTAGTTAATCTGGTTCATTTTGTCTTCTTTTTCTGGCTAGTAAAAGTTCTGAACGGGCGGTAATTTAAACATTTAGTGGCATGTGGGTGTAAAAGTTGATTTGAAGCCCAGTGTCAGTGTAGCGCTCTCACCCTGGGCCAGGAAGCCTTTACACGGGTTTGCTGTTAGCCAGGGCTTGCAGTAGAACAGCTCGTCCAGCTTCTGAATGAACTCGAACTGACACGGCACCTGGCCGTCGTTGTGGACGCTCACGGTCTGGGCCTGATGCTGCATGAACTTCACGTGCTCGAAGTGGAACTGCACACACACACACAGAAAACACAGAAATGAGGCATTCGGTTTCCATTCAGAGGCTAAACAAATAAATACTGACTTGCGTTACAGCTAAAAAAAAACAACAGTAAAAGTACAGTAAAAATTTAAATCTGCTGTTGTCTATGTGAATATATAGTAAAGTGTAATTTATTCCTGTGATCAAAGCTGAATTTTCAGCATCATTACTCCAGTCTTCAGTGTCACATGACCCTTTCAGAAATCACTATAATATGAGGATCTGATGCTCAAGAAACATTTATGATTATTATCAGTGTTGAAAACTATGGAAGCTTGTTTCCGCCACGGAATAAAACATTTAAAAGATAATTGTCTCAGAATTGCGAGATATAAAGTCAGAATTGCGAGAGAGAAAACTAACAATTCAGACTTTTTTCTCGCAATTGCAACTTTATTTCACGCAATTCTGACTTTATAACACATAATTGCGACTTTATATCTCGCGATTCTGACATCTTTTCTCAGAATTGTGAGTTATATTGTAAGTCCAATTCTAAGGAAAAAAAAGACTGACTTTGTTCCCCTCAGAATAGTTTATATCTCACAATTCTGACTTTATAACACGCAATTGACCCTTCGCAGGGAGCTTGATTGACAGGTTGACCATTTTGTCCGACAAAGCAGTCAGGAGAGTTAGTAGATTAACATGCCTTTCTGCGGTTAAAACAACATTCCTTCTTATGTTCATTCATGTTTATTTGATGCTATAAATGAACTAGAAGGAAGAGATGATCGGATCACGAGCGGCTTTAACTGATGCTCTACAGCGATCTGTCACGACACATTAAAGAGCCACAAAACGGTATTTATTGTTTAAATTTCTTTTTAAAAAATGACCAAATTTGAAAGGTGAGACTTTGTTTAATATGTTTAATATCAAAAGTAACCGAAAAGTAACCTGGTCTGTCCTGTCTGTCAGCGTGTTGTCAGTCCGCGATGTATTTTTCAGCAGCGTAGCTTGTCGGACATAGCGACAGTAACTAAGGGGGGCGGGTGTTTGCGAACGGTCAATTGTGAGACAAAAAGTCGCAATTACCTTTTTTATTTTTCATTCTGTGGTGGAAACAAGCTTCCATAGAAAACATATGAAAACATATTTCCATTTTGAAAACACAAAAGCATATTTTTGTGGAAATGGAATTGATTTTATTTTTCAAGATTCTTTGATGGATAGAAAGTTCAAAAGAACAGCTTTTTATATATATATATATATATATATATATATATATATATATAATCTTTTGTAACATTATACATGTGTTTACTGTCACTTCTGATTAACTCAATGTGATCTTTCTGAATAAAAGTATTTTTACTTTTATTTTTACTTTTACTTTTATTACCGCCCCCCAACAGCGTGACCCGTCACGGAAACCAGGGACACAAGTCGGCAGCACAACTTGCGAGCAAAATGAGAAAGAAGCGTTTTTTTCCAAAATTGGTGATTTCCGCTTTTTTGCAGAATCTGTTAGTTGAGATCATGAAGAAGCCTCTACATGTTTGAGATAACAGTATTGGTATATTTAAAAGCGTACATTTTGAGGTTGAAATCGGCTTGTTTTTCGGAGATTCTAGCATGCAGTAGGGGCGTGTCATTGTCTGTGTGTATTTCCATACTGAATAGCCGCCGGCGCTTTTGCCCCCGCCCCCCAACAGCGTGGCTACTTAATATGCAGCGCTCTGGCCGGCTCTATCTGATATCAAAATTCAATGAAGATGGACGCCGCAAAGATTGTCGCAGACGAGCTGAAGCGTGGCAGTTACACCGAAAATGTTTTCGCCGCACTTTGTGGGCTCGGGAAACTGAACCGGAGGTATGGGCGCGGCGCGCGCGCCCTCGGTGCTTGAATACGGCGGCTCGGCTCGCTGACAGCGGTGGCTAACTGTTTCATATGTGATGTCCCGATTGCTTTGAATGGGGAACGTTTTGTGAACAGGGAACAGACTTAATGGACTGGCAACAATCTCCATAGAACATGAACTGGCACAGAGAATCGAAATAGAGGATGCAGTTAAGACCTTTGCTGCGATGAAGGCCTGCCGTGCGCGTTTCTGAAACGTAAGTTAATCTTCATTTGCTCTCTAGTCGTTATTTAAGATGCTGAACCTGCTGATGATATAATGTGCTTGCGGACATTTCATTTGTGTGTGTATACGCACATAAGAAAGTGGTGTAAAGAGATTTGCAACAGTAATCTGAGGAGGAAATATGATTATTTGGAAAATTCCTGTCATGACTGCTTAAAGAAAAATGCCAGCAGGCATTTACCTCCTGCATAAACTTTAATATTGTTGACATTTTGGGCACACGCGCGTTGCGCACTATTTGCGTTATATGTAGGCCTATGGCTTATTGGTCTTTGTGTGTTGTTGCTGGTTTTGCGTTATATGTATATGGCATATTGGTCTTTGTGTGTTGTTGCTGGTAAACGTTGCAAATAGAGGGGCAGCACAATTGTTTTTCGCCTAGAGCGGCAGAAGTGCATTCGCCGGTCCTGGGGGTGAGTTTGCATTAAGCATTAAAGTTTGTCGTTTTGTTTTAATTCTAAGAACACGTACATGTTATCTCATGTTTAGTCTGTTTAGACCTTCCCATACCTACCTATTGTTATTAGCTAGCTCAGGAAAGAAAAAAAAGCTGTAAAGCACAGGGGGAGCTTTACAGGGGGTATGGCTTATCTAAATGAGATGTAAATGAGCCCTATTGTCACTCCCAGCAGGAGAGAGAGGTGAGAATGCACAATCTTTTGAGGCCGTTTTCTCCCATTTTAGCTTTTTTGAGTTCCTACCTTCAAATGGCCACAACTTCTCCAAATATTATCAGATTTCCACGTGTTACACATCGTTGGAAAGCTTGGAGACTACACTTTCAGAATCTATGAATAACTCAAAATGCCGAAGAACCGACTTGTGTCCCTAGTTTCCGTGATCGGTCACAGCCACAAAACGGTATTTATTGTTTAAATTTCTTTTTAAAAAATGACCAAATTTGAAAGGTGAGACTTTGTTTAATATGTTTAATATCAAAAGTAACCGAAAAGTAACCTGGTCTGTCCTGTCTGTCAGCGTGTTGTCAGTCCGCGATGTATTTTTCAGCAGCGTAGCTTGTCGGACATAGCGACAGTAACTAAGGGGGGCGGGTGTTTGCGAACGGTCAATTGTGAGACAAAAAGTCGCAATTACCTTTTTTATTTTTCATTCTGTGGTGGAAACAAGCTTCCATAGAAAACATATGAAAACATATTTCCATTTTGAAAACACAAAAGCATATTTTTGTGGAAATGGAATTGATTTTATTTTTCAAGATTCTTTGATGGATAGAAAGTTCAAAAGAACAGCTTTTTATATATATATATATATATATATATATATATATATATATATATATATATAATCTTTTGTAACATTATACATGTGTTTACTGTCACTTCTGAATAACTCAATGTGATCTTTCTGAATAAAAGTATTAATTTCTTTCAAAATAAAATAATCTTACTGACCCCAAACTTTTGAATGGAAGTGTAAATTTGAAATGTGTGAAAGAGCCACAGAGCACCCTTCAGATGCTGGAGGCCGGAGACGGCTCACCTCGGTCTGAGACAGCGTCACTGAAGGAATGCAATCGTTCTCCAGGCGGTCGATGCGCCTCACGATCTCCTCGAACGTCCGTTTGTAGGACTCGTCGTTCACAAGCTTGATCTGCGCAGAGGAACGGCAGATGTCAGTAAGGGGACTGAGAATTAGGGCTGGGAATCGAAAATCGATTCCACTTCAGGAATCGGATACTTGTTATAAAATTTTAATTTTGATTCCTCTTATTGATTCCATTTCAATATGACATTAAACAATTCAAGCGTGAGACGACTCGCTGTGTTCATGTGTATCAGTATATCGGACCCGTGCAGCTCTTAAAGGGATAGTTCACCTCAAAACTGTAAACTCTGTCAGTAATGACTCTCCCTCATGTTGTTCAACCCCGTAAGACTTTCGTTCATCTTCGGAACAAATATTAAGATATTAATATAAACTCTCATTCCTGCGTAATAATCAAGAAACTTTACTGCCGTACCATGAGAGCAGCAGGCGTAATGATATGACGCAGCGCCTGAAAATAGTTCCGTTGTGTTGACGGAAGGTGGCCTATTTTCAGGCGCTGCGTCATATCATTACGCCTGCTGCACTCATGGTACGGCAGTGAAGTTTCTTGATTATTACGCAGGAATGAGAGTATAGTTCCTAGCCATATCAGCCTAGAAAATCGCAACTTTACATTTTCCGTCGGTTTTAGTGCACGATGTAACTACAGAAGAGTCAAGTTTTAAATAGGAAAAATATCGAAACTCTTTGGTCATTTTTTTTTTAGAAATGCTAATGGTCTTGTCCACTCCAATGATGTATGCTAAGCTATGCTAAAAGTGGTACCGCCAGAACCGGAGATCGGCTGAATGGATTCGAAAACGGTAAAACTCAACAGTTTAACTCTGGGGGAGTTGTAAAATGAGCCTATTTCCAAAAAAAGTGAAGTATCCCTTTAAATCTGAGAGCTGGATCACTCCTCCATAGGCTTCTTAGTGCCTCGAGTGAGTTCACGTAGTGTAACAGCGCAGCGCTTCTGGTGTACGCCACACACATCACACACATGACCAGCGTCGGCCAATAGTGAGCCTGCGTGTGACGTACACCCCAGAAGCGCTGCGCTGTTACACTACGCGAACTCACTCGAGGCCCACAGAGAAGAAGATGAAGAGTTGAATAAAGTCCTTATTTTTGTTTGTTTTTTGCACACAGAAAGTATTCTCGTCGCTTGATAAACTTAAGATTGAGCCACTGTAGTCACTCGGACTATTTTAACGATGTCTTTAATAACTTTTCTGGGCCGGCAAGTTTCAATTACAATAGAAGCCTATGGAGGAGTGATCCAGCTCTCAGATTTAATCACAAATATCTTAATATTTGTTCCGAAGATGAACGAAAGTCTTACGGGGTTGAACGACATGAGGCAGAGTAATTACTGACAGAGTTTATACATTTTGGGGTGAACTATCCCTTTAAAGTGACAGCACTAATATTCCTGCCGTCTCTATAATAACACTAATCACACGACAAAAGACAAAGAGAAAATTCACTCGTTCTTGACTGAATAACTTTTGTGTAACTATATTTGTAATGTATATTTTACTTAAAAGTGCAGTGTTATTTTACATGTGATTACAGTTTCTGAACCTGAACACTGAAAATCTTAAAACACTGTTTATTTCAATCGTATCTTTGTTCAGTTGTATCTATTTGTTGCGATTGCTAATTTTTTATTAGTCTTTTTTAATTACTCAGTGTTTACTTGTCTTTAATAATGCTTGAAGTTTACATTAGTCAGGCTAGTTGTTCTTCTATGGTGTTTTTAAACCTCAGGCAAACGCTCCTTGTGTAAGTGTTCTTCAGCTGTTGATTTCTGTTCATGATATTCAGCTACAATTAAATGTTTTGCAATAAGACTAAATATGAATGATATCTAAGTTTTTTTGTTTTTTTGTTTTACCTGATTGGAATCGAAATTAGTAATCGATAAGAATCGGAATCGTGAAAATCGAAGCGATACTCAACCCTACTGAGGATGAGGAGTGTGTGCGATCACGTGTGCTGTTCTCACCCCTATCTCCAGCAGAGAGCTGACGGGTTTGTGGTCACTGGTCTTCAGGGTCATGTGACTCTGGTAATTAAGCTGTTTAATGTCCTTCCCCCTCCACAGGATGCGGTCACACCACGCAGGAACTCGACACTTCTCACTGCATCAACACAAACACACACAAATAAAGGGTTTTTAACACTGATAATAATCTTAAATGTTTCTTGAGCAGCAACATATTAGAGTGATTTCTGAAGGATCATGTGACACTGAAGACTGGAGTAATGATGCTGAAAATTCAGCTTTGATCTCAGGAATAAATAATAGGGCTAAACCACATCAAGAACATGAATAAATAATAGGGCTAAACCACATCAAGAACATGAATATCACACTTCTGAACTCTTGGCGATGCGGTCTTCAAATGTTTCGGGTACCTTCAGGATATGCTGTTGATGAAATTTTGTGCCGATGCGTCAAAGCATTTAAAAATTATTGCAATTTATGACAAATTTCAAAACGGCAGACATGTGACCCTTCCGATCCGATCCATGACCAAACATTCTGACAAACATTTCAAAAGTTGTGAGAAACATAGCCATTTTTCAGATCTCATGACCTGTAGGTGGCGCTGTTTCCAAATTTGGCACGCACCCTCAGATCATGGTGTTGATGAAGTGTACCAAGTTTAGTTTCGATAGATAAAACTATTGCAGAGAAATTGAATCTAATGTAATTCAGAGTCAATATTAAGTTCACATCACTGTAACTTTTTAACAAAAAGGAATATCAAAATTCTGTTCAGTCATTTCTGCGAGGCTTGGTCCAATGATCATCTGAGAGGTTTTTCGAGAGTAATCGGCTGTACGAAGAAATTTGTTTCAAGGACAAAAGGTTCAAAACTAATGACAAAAAGAAAAGTGAATATTTGAACTGGTGGTGGCGCTATAGAGTTGGTCCTAGAAACCTCAAAGTTGGTCAGATTACTATTCAGGGCCACCTCTATGAGTGTGCCAAATTCCATCAGTTTCTTATGTATGGTTTATTGGGCTGTCATTCACTATCAACTGGGAATAATAATAATAATAAAGGAAACCATCATTAGAAAAAAAACATTGTTTTGATGAAGTAAATGTTTCTTGCAAGGACTTGCTATGTGTTCGTTTATTGTATGTTGTGGAGAATATTAGCTCTTTTATTGAGAGTGACAGGGGAAGTGATGTTTGATGGTGTTCTCTGACCTTGTGTCCCACTGATCTGAGCCAGTGTCGTACTTGTATGTGGGTTGGAAATTAATCTCTCCCTCCGTGAATCCCACAAACACAACCTCCTCATCCATCTGCCGCTTCAGCTGAAACAGACACACACACACACATTCATATTTCTATATTACCCTACATTATCCAGAGAAACCGCAGATGTGTCGAGTCTTACCTGGTCATGATTACACAGGGTCTCAAACTCCTTTTTAGCTATTAATTCCTTCACATGATCGACTTCAAGGTCACTTAAGCGATAGTTTAGATCTCCCAGCCATAACACAACACTGGAAAAGAAGAGAACATTGACGATAAAACACTTAAACAGGGATAACCTGACAACTGTCTCTTATTAAAGGGGTGGTTGATTATGATTTTACTTTTCTAACTTTAGTTAGTGTGTAATGTTGCAGTTTGAGCATAAACAACATCTGCAAAGTTACGACGCGCAAAGTTCAAAGCAAAGGGAGATATTTGCTTACAGAAATCGCTTTTTAAGGACTACAACAAACAGCTGGTAGAACTACACGAGCTTCCTCCCGGGTTAGTGACATCACTAACCCTAAAATTTCCATACACCCCCCGGGGTAATCTATGATTTATAGATTATCATGACAGAATATACTAATCAATGACTTGAAGATCGTTAACTCCACATCAGCTACATAAATTCATCAACTAACCTTTCAGAAATGTCCTGTTCTATTCTACATGTTGTCACTTCTTCTTGAGTCTCTCCATCTTTGTCGACTCCGGTTTTAACATAAAAGGCTAACATTTTTTTTAATTTTTAGTGCACGTGTGTTAGCAGCTCCTATTATCTCATACACATACGCGCACTGAAAATTTGAAAAACTTTTAGCCTTTTATGTTCAAACCGGAGTCGACAAAGACACACACACACACACACACACACACACACACACACACACACACACACACACACACACACACACACACACACACACACACACACACACACACACAAGCTGTTGAAGCCCCGCCCTCTATGCCGGGAGCAGCAGCTCATTTGCATTTAAAGGGACACACACAAAAACGGTGCGTTTTTGCGCATCTCAAAAAGTGACAATTTTAACATGCTATAAAATTATCTGTGGGGTATTTTGAGCTAAAACTTCACATACACACTCTGGGGACATCAGAGACTTATTTTACATCTTGTGAAAGCATTATACCACCACTTTACACCAGATATTCTGCATGTTGGCCAGCTATCGTGTTCAGTTCATACCTGTGTTTATTACTAGTTTATTCATACCTGTGTTTCATGATGGTGAGGGGGGGCAGCGTGGGGTCCTCCTGCCGGAACTGAATCCTGCGGCAAATGTCCTTAAAGTCCTGGTTGCGTCGCTCGAACTCTTCGGTGTGCGCGGCGAGGTGGGAGTTCACCACACAGATGTCTGAGTTGTGAAACTGGAAGCGGATGGCTACTGCACCTTTATTTCCCTAAAGGAGAAAGAAGGTTATTTGAATGTTATAAGCTAATGCTTACATTTCTTTAGGCAACTTTATGCTTCTAATTTAGGAGAACAGTTGGAGTCCATTTTGTAGAGATGGTAATGTTAATATTCCATGATATAGCATGCAGAACTAGGCAAGAGAAAATGGAGCTCTTCAAGGTTACACTTAATTTTAACCCTCTAGGCGCCACGGTCGAGTTTACTCGAAAAGATGCGGCACTGAATAAAACGGCCGATTTTGTCAAATTGGGTGTCAAATTTCGTTCGACCTCCCCTCCACTGGATGGCAGACATGTCATACTTCATCCCTGAATAAAAAAAAGGTCATGTTTCTATACAAAATGTTCGAGTTAGAGCGCTTGAATCAGTGCGATCGAAAGCGGAGCTAGTGTGCGAGTGAGCCATGTTATCAGATCCTCTCCGCAATCGCGGCGACAGTATTGTGGTGGAGACTTTGTCTAATGCCACTGGGTATGTTAGACGAGGTCGAAGTATTCATAGGACAGTTAGGAGGCGACGTGGAGGCAGGGTGGGGAGTCGCAATGACAATGACAGCAGTCCGAGCTGTGCACACTCGGCGCGCGCGCGAGGCAGATCTGGCCACGCTGCTCGTATCATCTCACTCATAATCTGTGCGAGTGAGCGTTTGAACTAAACAGGTCTTGTCTACTTGTGTTTGTATGTCATATGAACAATATATATGTGCCCCATTCATGGAATCAGAGTGCCTACTGTATTTAGTAAATGGAAAATCTCTACAGCAAAAGGCCAACCACTACAATGCATTCGGTCTGTTTCTACCATTTATTAGTAATGATTTACACAGTTTGTTTACTACTTACTATATACCTGAGCATTCAGTATTGTGCAATATAGCATACAGAAGGTGATGGCCATTTTGGGGGGAAAGAAGTGCTGCATTTTCTCATTTAAACGTGACTTTTCATGAAAATTCTATAATCCAAGATTGCCCCCACCATATGACGTCATAATATGCAAATTAGATGGAAAAATGTTATCCCTACATAAACTTTGGGTCATCCTTAATATTTCTCTAATTTACAGAAAGTCTCTATCTTTTATCACTTTTAAGAAATAGCCTTTTGAAATTGAGATGTCAAAATCGAACGTTTTAGGAAAAAACCTCTGGCGCCTAAAGGGTTAAGCCCTGTGTCATTACACAAACACAACACACTCATCACGCGCTCCTCGTAACACACTCATCACGCGCAACTCGTAACACACTCATCACGCGCTCCTCGTAACACACTCATCACGCGCAACTCGTAACACACTCATCACGCGCTCCTCATAACACACTCATCACGCTCTATTTGTAACACACTCATCACGCGCTACTCGTAACACACTCATCACGCGCTCCTCGTAACACACTCACCACGCGCAACTCGTAACACACTCACCACGCGCAACTCGTAACACACTCATCACGCGCTCCTCATAACACACTCATCACGCGCAACTCGTAACACACTCATCACGCGCTCCTCATAACACACTCATCACGCTCTATTTGTAACACACTCATCACGCGCTACTCGTAACACACTCATCACGCGCTACTCGTAACACACTCATCACGCGCTCCTCGTAACACACTCATCACGCTCTATTTGTAACACACTCATCACGCTCTATTTGTAACACACTCATCACGCTCTATTTGTAACACACTCATCACGCTCTATTTGTAACACACTCATCACGCGCTACTCGTAACACACTCATCACGCTCTATTTGTAACACACTCATCACGCTCTATTTGTAACACACTCATCACGCTCTATTTGTAACACACTCATCACGCGCTACTCGTAACACACTCATCACGCGCTACTCGTAACACACTCATCACGCGCAACTCGTAACACACTCATCACGCTCTATTTGTAACACACTCATCACGCGCTACTCGTTACACACTCATCACGCGCTCCTCGTAACACACTCACCCCGCGCTCCTCGTAACACACTCACCCCGCGCTCCTCGCAACACACTCACCACGCGCTCCTCGTAACACACTCACCACGCGCTCCTCGCAACACACTCATCACGCTCTCCTCGTAACACACTCATCACGCGCTATTTGTAACACACTCATCACGCGCTACTCGTAACACACTCATCACGCGCTCCTCGTAACACACTCATCACGCGCAACTCGTAACACACTCATCACGCGCTCCTCGCAACACACTCATCACGCGCTCCTCGTAACACACTCACCACGCTCTCCTCGTAACACACTCATCACGCGCTATTTGTAACACACTCATCACGCGCTACTCGTAACACACTCATCACGCGCTCCTCGTAACACACTCATCACGCGCAACTCGTAACACACTCATCACGCGCTCCTCGTAACACACTCATCACGCGCAACTCGTAACACACTCATCACGCGCTCCTCGTAACACACTCACCCCGCGCTCCTCGCAACACACTCATCACGCGCTCCTCGTAACACACTCACCACGCGCTCCTCGCAACACACTCATCACGCTCTCCTCGTAACACACTCATCACGCGCAACTCGTAACACACTCATCACGCGCTCCTCGTAACACACTCATCACGCGCAACTCGTAACACACTCATCACGCGCTCCTCGTAACACACTCACCCCGCGCTCCTCGCAACACACTCATCACGCGCTCCTCGTAACACACTCACCACGCGCTCCTCGTAACACACTCACCACGCGCTCCTCGCAACACACTCATCACGCGCTATTTGTAACACACTCATCACGCGCTACTCGTAACACACTCATCACGCGCAACTCGTAACACACTCATCACGCGCTCCTCGTAACACACTCATCACGCGCAACTCGTAACACACTCATCACGCGCTCCTCGCAACACACTCATCACGCGCTCCTCGTAACACACTCACCACGCTCTCCTCGTAACACACTCATCACGCGCTATTTGTAACACACTCATCACGCGCTACTCGTAACACACTCATCACGCGCTCCTCGTAACACACTCATCACGCGCAACTCGTAACACACTCATCACGCGCTCCTCGTAACACACTCATCACGCGCAACTCGTAACACACTCATCACGCGCTCCTCGTAACACACTCACCCCGCGCTCCTCGCAACACACTCATCACGCGCTCCTCGTAACACACTCACCACGCGCTCCTCGCAACACACTCATCACGCTCTCCTCGTAACACACTCATCACGCGCTATTTGTAACACACTCATCACGCGCTACTCGTAACACACTCATCACGCGCAACTCGTAACACACTCACCACGCGCTCCTCGCAACACACTCATCACGCTCTCCTCGTAACACACTCATCACGCGCTATTTGTAACACACTCATCACGCGCTCCTCGTAACACACTCATCACGCGCAACTCGTAACACACTCATCACGCGCTCCTCGCAACACACTCATCACGCGCTCCTCGTAACACACTCATCACGCGCTATTTGTAACACACTCATCACGCGCTACTCGTAACACACTCATCACGCGCTCCTCGTAACACACTCATCACGCGCAACTCGTAACACACTCATCACGCGCTCCTCGTAACACACTCATCACGCGCAACTCGTAACACACTCATCACGCGCTCCTCATAACACACTCATCACGCTCTATTTGTAACACACTCATCACGCGCTACTCGTAACACACTCATCACGCGCTACTCGTAACACACTCACCACGCGCTCCTCGTAACACACTCACCCCGCGCTCCTCGCAACACACTCATCACGCGCTCCTCGTAACACACTCATCACGCGCTCCTCGTAACACACTCACCACGCGCTCCTCGCAACACACTCATCACGCGCTCCTCGTAACACACTCATCACGCGCTCCTCGTAACACACTCACCACGCTCTCCTCGTAACACACTCACCACGCGCTCCTCGTAACACACTCACCACGCTCTCCTCGTAACACACTCATCACGCGCTATTTGTAACACACTCATCACGCGCTCCTCGTAACACACTCACCACGCTCTCCTCGTAACACACTCATCACGCGCTACTCGTAACACACTCATCACGCGCTCCTCGTAACACACTCACCCCGCGCTCCTCATAACACACTCATCACGCGCTCCTCGCAACACACTCATCACGCACTCCTCGTAACACACTCATCACGCGCTCCTCGTAACACACTCACCACGCGCTCCTCGCAACACACTCATCACGCGCTCCTCGTAACACACTCACCACGCTCTCCTCGTAACACACTCATCACGCGCTCCTCGTAACACACTCACCCCGCGCTCCTCGTAACACACTCACCACGCTCTCCTCGTAACACACTCATCACGCGCTACTCGTAACACACTCACCACGCGCTCCTCGTAACACACTCACCCCGCGCTACTCGTAACACACTCACCACGCGCTCCTCGTAACACACTCACCACGCGCTCCTCGTAACACACTCACCACGCTCTCCTCGTAACACACTCATCACGCGCTATTTGTAACACACTCATCACGCGCTACTCGTAACACACTCATCACGCGCTCCTCGTAACACACTCATCACGCGCTCCTCGTAACACACTCATCACGCGCTCCTCATAACACACTCATCACGCGCTATTTGTAACACACTCATCACGCGCTCCTCATAACACACTCATCACGCACTATTTGTAACACACTCATCACGCGCTCCTGGTAACACACTCATCACGCGCTCCTCGTAACACACTCATCACGCGCAACTCGTAACACACTCATCACGCGCTCCTCGTAACACACTCATCACGCGCGACTCGTAACACACTCATCACGCTCTCCTCGCAACACACTCATCACGCGCTACTCGTAACACACTCATCACGCTCTATTTGTAACACACTCATCACGCGCTACTCGTTACACACTCATCACGCGCTCCTCGTAACACACTCACCCCGCGCTCCTCGTAACACACTCACCCCGCGCTCCTC